TCGACCACCAAGGTTGGCCAAAGACCTCTCCCTAGACGACCTGGCACCGGACCGCCAGAGGAATCAGCCTCTTTGCTGCCACCACCATGGTGAGGATGATTAAATTGCAACCGAAAGGTGCTGGTCCCAATAGATGTCCAGTTCGCCGCTGTAGTTGCCCTGATGACATGATGGTAGGGCCCGTGATGGAGGGCTTCGTGGACATCGGTTGGGATGGTGACAATGAGGATCTGTGTGTTGCTGTCATAGAAAAAACGGAATCGGCGCCCATTCCGGTCTCTACGTCTCTCGATATCATCGAAATCATTAGGAGAGACATCTACCTGCATGATTAGCACATGAAGCAAAACAATAAGTATGGACGGTGTGTCCTACGCGTGACAATGAGCACGTCTCCATCCGTGGCTTCGATTGTGGATTCGAGCTTCTTCCAACTGGTGTACCGCACGCTCGGCTCGTCCGGGTCGGCGGCAGATGCCATCACAGGAGACTGGGAAACAGTAGGTCTCAGAAAAAGGAGGAGTTGGTCGGGTTGGAGAAATCTGTCTGATTTGGCGGGTAGGGCACCCATAGTTATGGGGTCCCATCCGTGCCCCCAAATGGCAGGGTGCCGCATCCGGCCAATGCAGCAGCGACATGGTGGGCGGCATGACGAAGTGACACAATGAAGAAGTGGTTTCCGCTTCCGGTTACTCGCGTGTTTCTTTGAAACCGCCCTCCCATCAGCCTTTTCGCACTCACCACCGGGACGTCACCAAGGCACAAGGGCACACAAAAGGTAAAATAAAGTGGCGGTGTTGAATTAAAATTTCGGAACCCCACTTGGCCCCCCTTTACCTGCATGCCAATTACCCCGCCAATTGTCCACCGATTCCAAGGCCGGCCTACGATTCAAAAGAGCCCATACATTCAATCATCAAGAAACGGAAGGAAAGAAAACTCGATACCCAGAACCAAAGGCATGCACCCGGCCTATTGTGCTCATGACACTGATAGGCCGCAAAAATGAAATCGCAGTCAGGGTCCTTTTGGATACTGGCGCGTCAGTTCCTATCATTCATAAGGAACTAGCAGATAAACTAGCAGATAAGTACAACATCCCTATGCACCGCCATAAGGCTCCCCAGGTCCTCCAGATATACCATCCATCTAATTCCGGCATTCGATTCCGCCATGCCAGCACCATACCCTCCGTCAGCATGAGACTGTTCTGGGCTTGCAGCGTGGTGTGGTGGCGGTTTGGTTGAGAGCGGCTGATAGCAGGTATTAATGAAAAAGAGAGTTCTTGCAGATGGTTTTGGCATGGGGTTGCCAGTGATCACTGTAGCGAAGGCGCTTCCTTGACCGGCCACGTTCTCTGCCATCGTCGTCGTCGTCGTCGTCGTCATCGTCGTCATCGCCGTCATCGCCGTCATCATCATCGTCATTGCCGAGCCCCCGCTGCCGTTTTGTAGGGTTCTGGGTACAGGTTCGGGTCTGGTGGCCGTAGAGCCGTAGGAACTGTCCCCCTGAAACCTTCTTCGTCTCGCCGTTGGCGGCCCGACGGGCATACCCGTGCTTGAAAAAGATGCTCTTGGCGATAATAGCCTGGGCAAAACGCGCAAGGAGAAACTCGGGGCATATGCCTATCAGCGGCTGTGTGCTGAGGTTGTGCAGGCTGTCTAGGAGCTCCACATCCGGGCTGAGGACATGAACAACCCAGGTGGCGTTTTTCGGGACTAGGACGAACTGGTCGGCATCCCAGAGATGGCGCAGGTCCTTACGAAGCAGCAGGGTATTATGTGCGCAGTCGTTGCCTGCGTAACCAGGCTGCCGCGTCCACGCAAACATGTTGTTCTTGCGCCACCAGTCGCTTTGCAGCCGGGGGACGATGTGGGCTGTCTCGAGGGGCTGGCTGTGATTCGAGAGGCGGCATGTCCGATCGCGTGCCGCGAGCGTCGGTACCAGGGAACGTTCGATCGGCGCGGCCATCCAGGACGGGGGGATGGTGCTAGGGAAGACGAATTCGTGGAACGAAGGGATGACGGGGTAGGGGGGGTCTGGCGAGGGAGAGGTCAGCAATGAAGACCTGAGGTCGGGTTCACACACATACCCTCGTCGCGGCCAAGGCAGAAATAATACACGGTCCCTGTTAGCAAACTGTCCACGGGGATGGCAGTCGGGGGGCCATTCCGCTCAGCCGATAGGTAGCCATCCCAGCGGCAGTTGGCGAGGATGGCGCAGGCAATGCGTGCTGTTTCGTGGTGGATGCCATAACTATCGCCACCATTGGTGTCGGCCGCCGAGAGCTGGAGGAGGGTATTCTGCCCGTCGTCATACCCGGGATGCAGGAACTTGACAACAACGGCCTCCGGGGCGGCAGGGGGCGGTAGGCGCGGTGCCTTGAGCAGGATGGCCGCGGCGGCGGCGGTAGTGGCGCTCATGATTTGTGTTGGCGGGATTGGATAGATTGTGTTTGCGGCCAGAACAGAAAACACAAAAACACAAAACACGCCGTCCTTATATAGGGCTGGCTGACGCAGCCGATTCCACATGACGCCGTGCGGATCTGTGCCAATGTTGCGTGGTGAATGGCTGCACGTGAATGCGCTGCACGCGGTATGTGAATGCACTGCACATGGTATGTGAATGCGCTGGACAGGGTACGTTAGCATTGCCAACATGATTGCCATCTCGTCAGTGCGCGTCTGTCTTTCACGACTGCCTACAAATAAAAACACCATCTTGCTCTACTGGCTCACAAAATCCGTTTTCTTTCGACGCTCCATGTGGAAACCATGCTTGTTTTCTATCAGGGAGAACTTGACATTCTGGTCCCAAAACCTAGCCGAGAAGAATACATTGTGCGTGCAACATAACCTGGTACCTCGGTGTGGAAACACCAACTCTGTCACCATTTGACAAGGTGCGCCGACAGGGGAGCGTGAGCGGCGTTGAAACCTTCAAAGTGTCCTAGAATCAATCATGACTCTGATGGAGACCCAAGGGCTGGTGTGACATGGCCTTTGAGAATAATCATGCCCTACACTGTGGAGAGGCGCTCGAACCCCTCCCTTGGCCATGCCTCTCAGCCCTGTGTCCCCGTTCCCCGGCTCTTGCGCAGCGCCACCCACCCTAAGCGAAAACCGGCCTACCCGCCTATGCGGCCGGCACAACCTTGGAGGACCTGCAAGGGTGACCAGGAGCGGAGTTTTCACCATCTCCACCATCACCAACTCCATCACCAACTCCATCACCACTCCATCACCAACTCCATCACCAACCAACCCCACCACCAACCATCTCCAACCATCCCCACCGCCAACCATCTCCATCACCATACTATCCCCATTACCAACTTCTATTCCTGATCAACATGGCCACCCCCTTTACTCACGACGACTATCACACCACGCGTGAGAAGCAGGACATTGCCCTTTGTCGCGAGTTTGGCATCATACACGGCCACCTCGACAGGATTCACGACAAAAATGCCAACCGCTTTGCCCAGATTGACGACCGCTTTGCCCAGATTGACGACCGCTTTGCCCAGATGCGCAATGAAACTGCCGACCGCTTTGACAAGATGGACGACAGCTTTGGGGAGCTCCGGGTTAAGCTCAAACAGAGCATGGCCTTCGCATACAATGCACAAACCTGAAACCCCGTCCGACCTATCTGACCGATCCCTCCCTACCGTCCCGGCCACGGCCTTGTCCAACCCAGCTATTTTCCCAAGGATGAAATTGCCCTTGTGAACCTTGCCTACCACCACAATGATGCAGCACTGGTCTATCTTGCCCATTTCTACGAAATCAGTGGCTACGAGGCCTGGGGCAATGATTCGGGAAGAGAGGCTGGCGACAAGACGGCTTGGAAAGCAGCAATCTATCCCTTGAAGATGCTGTGACAAGATATCCTGAAAAGGCAGTGGAATCGCTTGGGTCCATATTCGGACTCGACATCGACCACTTTTTTCAGCTCAAATTGAAATCAAGACTCATCAACATGATACTAGAATGGGTGACGGCGGTGCCAGCACAACCAAGAGGGCGGCCTGTGGCAAAAATACCTTGAGGGATGCAAAGCGGGCCATGGTTCTACCTGGACGTGAAACACCCCCGTTTGCTTTACCCAAGCTTACTCTTGAGGAGCTCTTTGGGACTGCTGCTCCTGCCGGCAGCATCTCTGGCAAGTCCAACATTTCCCCTCTACTTTGGGATTTCGGAGAGAGAAAGCGCGGGCCTAAGATTTGGGACTTCGAGTCCAATCCCAACATCCCAGAACCTGTGGACCCAGAGGAAGGCAGTCACCCAAGAGAAAGGCAGCCGACCAACACAAACACCAACGCCCAAGACGAGGGCAGTCCGACTAACCCAAACACTAGTGCCTCTGACCATGGCTTGGGGCCTGGCGGAGCTGCCTCATGATCAATTTTTTACCGGGCTGGCTTCTTTGTGGGGGGGCACCATGTGGAGGGCGTCGACTTTTTGTATGTATATGGGAGAGATGCATGACCATGTTCTCCACGACCAAGTTGTCCGTGACCAGCGCTCCTGATGTGACTGACGGGCGACAAGCACAAGCTGCCAGAACGGCGGCTGCCGCTGCCACCGCCACCACACCTCCATCCCACACGGCAGCCCAAGGCAGTGCTGTACTGATGGATACTGAGGTAGCTGATTCCAAAACAAGGATTTCATCGATGGGATCTCATGGGGGGGCACTATCGGGGGGCACTAGGCTGCAAGGTTAGGATTATGTAGCTGATGTTACCCCTACCATCACCACACCACGTTGCACACCTGGAACAGTACTATGCTGATAGATAGCAAGATAGCTGATTCGAATGTAGGGACTACATCGATGCTCTGCAACAAGCACAAGCTGCCAGAACCACGCTGGCTCCAGGCAACAGGCGCTAACAACCTCCCGGGCCTTTTCGACCCTTTCCAAGGAAAAGAGCGGCAGCCCTGCTATATATATGTCGTCTAGTTTCCCTATTTTCAACAACTACCATTGCCCCTGTAGCGCAGTGGTAGCGTGCTCTGCTCTTGCGCCTTCGTCAGGACGCTGACACGTCATGCCGGGGGCCATGTCAGAGAGGTCGCAGGCTCAATTCCTGCCATGGGCTTTCAACGTCTTGTAGTGCCCAGGGATCAAGACGTGGGCATTCTTTTTGCTGCTCCTTTCGACCCTTTTGCTTTTCTTTGCTATTCTGCTTGCCCCTGACTTCTTGGACTTTGTACTCTTCAGAGCCACAGCCCCACATCTGCTGTCTCCTAGGACAGTTCTATTCTGATAGATCTTGATGTGACTGATTTGAATGCCGGGATGAGGTGGATGGTGCAGCGGGCGCTACTCCTGTCACTTGCCATCACCATATGATTGGCACTAGGGATGACTGCCACCACCATACCTGTTGCAAGCCCCGGACAGTGCTTTGCTGATGGATATCGATGTAGCTGATTCGAGTGAAGGGATGAGATGGATGCTCCAGCGCAGGGTTTCGGTCATGTTATTTACGCCAAGCGGGTCAAGTTGATAATCAAGGCTTGGATTTTGACAAGAGTCTTGCCAATCTGGACTTGAGTCCAGGCCCGACCTTGTACCGGACACCGGGTTCCTACCAACCCAGGAACTGTCTTTCATGACTGGCTACCAAAATAAAACACCGTCTTGTTCTGCTGGCTCACAAAATTCGGCTTTTCAAACCCTCAACGTGAAAACCATGCTCGTTTTCCTACACCAGATGGAATCAGGCCGATTCATCTACTCACTCCCAAAAGCCTCCAAGAGCAACAAGGATAAAACTCGATCCATTCACCGAGCAAGAGTCAAGTCACATTGGGTTTAGAATCTAACCAGGAAATCTCGCATGAGAAGCAGACTGCGAGCGACAATCTACCAGCGGGGAAACAGGGAATCGGCTTCCGTGTATCCAAAGTGGGCAGCGGAATCAGGAAAAGGGACGGTCAGACTCGCAGCAAGCCAAGTATGTGGTCAAAGAACACGACGACATGTACAACTAAGTGTATTGGATCCTGAAGTGAGCAGTACAACCCCCAGTCTGCCATCTGGTCATGCAAATGGAGGCATGACGCCGCAACAATGGACATGTACCGTCGAGGCTCAGCTGTTGCATAGTCGATTCTCTGGTTCAGTATCTCCTCGGCCTTGTCAGACAGGTGGAGTAGGGCTTGGCGGTCGACCAAGGTCATCCTGTACCTAGAGAGCTTTGCGCTTGCCGTATAATGCCCCGGAAGACTGAGCACCTGTGGAAGGTGGCTTAATGCCTTCTTCTGCAACTTGGCTTGCCGGGCCGCAAGAGTCAGTGAGACGGGGAAATATTTCTTCCCTGTCGTAAAGCAAAAGTAACAGACTCGTTTGCAGCTGAGGAGGCAAAGGTAGCCGCCAAAGAGGCTGCAGGATTCGCATTTCTCCCTCGTCAATGCCTGGAAGAGTGTTTCGCAACTGAAGGAGGTGGCGTTGGTGCTGACCACAGCACGCAAAATACTGGGACAAGACGTCCACAGCCGTTGATGCAGAGTATGTGGACGTAGAAATGCTGTGGACAAGACAGAGCAATGAAAAGGTGATGGATTGTATGCGGTGTTGCGGGCCAGGATTTCCTGGCCTGCAGCAGCTGAATAGGTGGCATGGCACACGGGCCATGGCACTGGCCAGGTGGGCTGTTGCCCTTGGGCACGTAAAAGAAGAGGTTCCACATGGAGCAAAGGACCTGAAGACTGGTAGTGTGAGCCGCTGGGTCCACGTGAAGTAAGCTGAACAAGTGAAAAATAGTTGAGGATGGGAAGTTGGAAGAGAAGAAAGGAGGAACAAAAATATATGCCGAGACATTCAGTTTGTACCAGATCTCGGGAAAATTTCAAATAAAAACAAAACCAGAAATACAAGGTCCCAAGATGCTCCGGTACACCTTTGCTACTCTTAGATTGTCCCAAGACATCTCCAACAGAGGGGAAAGAAGTGGGATATAACGCAGGGACCGGTTGCTCCATGTGGACGAACTAGTGAAGAGTAACACCATCACTCAATGCTTGCGCTTGCCCCTTGACCCCTTACCAACCCCTAGCTCGCCTTCCCCATTGCGCTCTGGGTATTGCCATGAGTCTTTGATGACGAGCGGCATCTGTGGCAGGCCTTCGCGATGAGCTTTCCAGCATGTTGTGGCCCGACCAGCGACGCAACGTGCTCGTTGCATCACCTCGTCAGTGATGAGGCGTTCTGTGGAGCCATTGCGATTAATCCCGATAAGCCGCTCCCCATTTTGGGTCCTTGTTGTTGGGTCGAAGCCGAGGGCCGTAAACACAAACAGGGACCCATCCTCGTTAATGTCGAACCGCTTAGATGCGAGACCCCCGAGTCGATCAAACCCCCACACTCTCACAAGAGATCCGCATATGGTGAACCCCAAGACAAATCGGCGAGTGTCTTGGGCGGGCGAGGACTTCCCTCGGTACGTGCGCTTATTTTCACTTATTTAATTACTCCACGTGGACCAAGTGGAGACCAAGTGGCGCGTTATAGGGCGGTTTGGATGAGCAATATTACCGCTCTATTTAACCATAATAAACACAAAGTTGACATTAGCTAGTACAAAGAATACATGTTTCAAGCAGCGCTGCCACCACAAAATTCCTCCTCAGAAATCCAACCATACTGGCCTTCACATTAGCTGTTGTTTTACCCTAAAGTTGCCCTCACCAGCCTCGGTCACCCGCCCCATCCCTAGCCACCTTGCTCAGGCGCTACTCAGCCGTTGCTCAGGAGCTGCTCAGGAATGATCAGAGAAATCGCCAAACATGGTTCGAATGGCAACTTTTTGCGAGGTCCCAGTTTTTGGGACACAGGTGGCCCAAAACTAGGACCCCCCCCCGGTACTGGTTGCTCCGATCACTCTGAACGCAGAGTTCCACAGCATCATCCACAAGACTTAGGCCTTCTACATCCTTGAAATCTAGCTCCACTATACCCATATTCAACTTACTCCACGTGGACCAAGCGGCCTATTCAGGCACTGATTTTGCGCGCTAGACATCATATTAGCTTAGGCCTTCCACCAGCCTCGGGAAACACGGAAGCTGTCGAACCGAGGAATGGTGGTCTCAGCGCCAAGGCACCAACTGGACCGCGCTCTGGTGGAGCACAGGAGCCATTAGTCAGGTGCGCTCCGTGTGGCTCCCCACCCACAGGTGTGTACGTAAATAGCCAGTGCTGCCCATCACTTGAACGTATCGGAATCTCCGGATGGCAACTTTAGCCGAGGGTCCAAAATTGGGCCACACTAGCTCACCCATAGCCCACCCTAGCTCAGGAGCGGCTCAGGATCACGCACGAACATGGAAATTGCTAAGGGCAACTTTAGGGTAAAACAATGGTGTGTTGACCATGTCATGACTCTTGGGGTGTTCACCAAGCTCAGCCTGTGCTTCAATTGAAGCCTTCGCCCCCTCTCTCTCTGCAAACCGTGCCACCGCCATCTCTTCCACGTCTTTTTCGTCAACTCCCTGGATCCGGGGCCTTTTTGCTTCAATCAGCCTTGACAAGAAATTCCTGCAGGCCAATGACCAAACTGGATCCATGCCTGGACTGAACTCGGACGAGCCCCATCCCGTTTACAAGCTGGCGACCGATACAGCCACCCCGCTGCACCATTGGAATAACAAGCAGCTCATCTACGACCCGTCGGGGAAGGCGCTTCCGGAGTAGATGTGGCTGATTACAGAAGCCTTGGCCATGCCCTTACCCCTCCGGTGCCAACAGAACAGACATGGACGGCAACAAAATGTCGATGTAGTCATCGATGATACAAAATTCCCTCCCCGCCAGAGCATCATCCAAAGTAATCATAGCATTTAACCTCGAAATCTTGCCGACCGAAGCACACCTACCCGCGTCACACCGTCCCCGCATTAGCAACCATCCCACAACCTCAACCCCGTACACCACTCACGTTAGCTTGATCCCAACCACATTCCGACTCGCCCTCGCCACCTCCACAACAGCTCAGCATCGAGATAACCCCCCCCCCCCCCCCCCGCCCCGCCCCCCGCTGACAGCAGGAAAGTGATACAAGACAGCAGGCAGCGGACTCGCCTCAGCCAACGTCCACAAAACAACCCCTCAACGCCTGCCTATCCCCCTTTAGCAGCGCGCTACCCCGAGGGCACCACCATGGCAAAGTCGGCGCCCGCGGCCACCCCCTGCCTTCACCAGCTCGATGGTCTCGTGGGTGCTGGGCGCGCCGACGCCCGCGGCGATGGGGACGTGGCACACCCAAACAAAACCCATACCTCATCCTCCGGATACACATCGCCCTCCACGAGAAGGTCCCCATCTGCCGCTGCCAAGCCTCATAGCACATCATCCAATCAGGTTCCCAACCAGCCCCCCTAATAGACCATTTATCATCAGCCTGCTGATATCCTAGGGGTCTAGCTATTCCGGCAACATCACAGAGACCAATGGGTGTCTCCCGGGCCAGGTTCTCTAGGCAGGATAAGACAGCCTTTTTTGCCTTGAACTGGTCGGAATCGGCATAGACCATATCTGTCTGGCCTTTGCCTCTTGCAAAGACATGGACCATTGTATTGTCCTCTGCAAGGTTGTCAACTTTAGATAGGTTGCAGACAGAATCGTTTCCTCTTTCTGATCAAGATGCTGACTCTATGTGCTGATAGCCAGCGCCGTTCCGTGGCATGAGACAAGACGAACAGAAAGGCCCCGAGGCACGCAAGCAGGTTGTTGAATGGAAGAATTGGGTTTCCTGGTTCGCGTAGATGCCCAAAGACATTGCGAGCATGGAGGCGGCCGGGACAAATACGGCGCGGAAGAGGGACGGGGAAAGGCTGAGGAGAAGGATGAGGAAAAGGGCGAGGAAGATGATGGGGAAGAGGCTCGGACCGATGCTGCTGTGTCTGTGGCAGGCGTGAATGGTGGGCCGGGCGTGGACTGTTCTAATGCTGATGTATCGGTTAGATGACTTTGGGACATGTTGACGGGGGTACGTGAGGGTGTAGCCGTTGCCATCCTCGTGGCGGGAGTTCCCTTGTTCCCGGGAACTACGGCTGACCCGTTTAGCCTGTTGGCGAAGATGTTATGGGGAGTCAG